ATAAGGTGTGTCGAATGAATTTCAAAAAAATTCAAGTCCTTTCAAAAAAATTTGCTTGGTTCGAATTATTGGCGGCACCTGTGCTCTGATTTGGACGTCGCCGCCAAAAAAAGTCTCCGTTTTCGTTCAAAATTCTCTTTTTGAAGTGGGAGTGGCCGAAATTTTAGAGTACGCAATGTCTTCATAGAATACTACATATCTGAGCGCCATTATCGCAGCGAATCCAGCGTTTTTGGCTTGAGATTGAACCGTCGAAGACAAAGGACATCAACGGCGACCTCAGCCGTAGTCAACGATGCGCACAAATAAGCCATGAAGTGGGATTCCATCAAACGACGTGTGTGGTCTTGCAGGTTTCCGGGTGACACTGTGCGGCGATCGCCAATCATGTGCGTGTGTGATTGGCAAAGAGAATAAAGTGGGGGATGGTGCCACATATTCTCAGGCTATCAGGGACGCACGAATCGCAATTATTAATAATCATTTCTTTCAATGAGAACAAAATGTAGTCTTTTATTTCATAGCATATGAGGAACAGGTTAATTCCTCATATGCAGTGAAATAAGCTCACAACTACTGTATTCGTTACAGTAGTTATAATTTGTGACGATGCCCAAACACCAGGTTCTTATGAACGAAGGACATTCTTCGACGCGATAATCACCCAACGAAGGATTGAGAAACTGGACCAGGGACTTCATATCTTCTTCACTAGGCAGCCCTGAGCTATACAGTGTCGCTTAAATTCACTGCTGTTTATTCTAGTCAATGCAGAATTCCGATCTTCGATCTAAGTAAAAATTTTTCGACGGTTGGATTCTCTGAGAAAATGGTTCATCCTCTGAAAACGGCGAGTGTCACACAACGAGGGGATCATTTCTCGATTCGTCTCAATCTGAGCTGTAGAATTCTTGTTGCTTTGATTTAACATCCGTTAAAAAATTACACTACAGTAACCTTATACAGTTTTTAAATAATTTCGACATTCTGTTTATCTTACAGATTTAATATGAAAACAAGGAATGTGGAAATAAGGAATCCTGAAAATAAAGAAGACACTACGGATTTGCAAAAGGTAGTGTGTTGTGAATCTTTCAAGCTGCTGGGTTTTTTCTTTCCATCGATTTTGGACCGCCTACCTTTTTTATTATTCTTTGTGTGTGTCAGTTATAGTGAGCTTCATAAGGTCTTAGTTTAGCTTTTGCCTTTCTTCGAAAATATTTATGTTTTCCCTTTAGGCAGCTGATTTTGTTCGTGCATTCGTGCTAGGATTCGACGTGGCTGATGCGTTAGCGCTGATTCGCCTCGATCATCTATTTCTTGAAACGTTTGAGGTGAGAGGATGGACGATGGCACGCCTGCCGCTTGTTAATGAGTCTTAAACTCCAATGATTTGCAGGTGGCTGATGTGAAGTCATCATTGAAAGGTGATAATCTCAGTCGAGCTGTTGGCCGAATAGCAGGGAAGGATGGAAGAACGAAACTTGTGATAGAAAACGTCACGAAGACCAGAATAGGTTTGTTGAATTTTCAGTTACATAGTCGGGGAGGGTTTTAGCGCATTTTTTGATGGTGTCGTGCCCAATACAAAGGTCCTCCAGTCACTGCAGTGAGCTGTGTCATTCAGGAGCCCCATTTAATGGGCCATGATTTTGCCCGGTGGTAGGACTAAATTGCAAGAGAATGAAATATTGAGATAGTCTATTAGGGAAGAACAGAGAAAGGTCGCAGAAGAATGGGGTCTGAAGCCGTATGGTATCCCTCCTCTAGGAAGAAGAGATAAGAGTATCTCCTTTGTCTTCTTAACCAGAATTGCACTATGTAATAACTTAATTATGAAGTACTTGTGTATATAAGGACAAAAACATGGTAAAGGTAAGGGAAGCTATCCCTAAAAACCATACAAATGGGTTTTCATTCTCCCCCCCCCCTCCCTCCAACCTTAGAGGAGAGAAGGATACGGTCTCTGGTGTATCCGTAAGAAACTCAGAGTTTTAATTTTCGTCGACGTGGCGCCTCTTTTCTTGGACAATTTGAAAACCTTCGTGCGGGTATTCCACCATGATTAATGCCGGACACTATACTGGGAGGTCTAATAAAGTATGATCGTTCAAGGCCTTGACCGTGCGCGCAAAAAAATCTGGAGTGATGAGGAGAGATTGTAAATGTGAGAAAAAGTGAAGATAGGGAGGTAATGGAAGGTAAGGTCGAAGTTGGTATCAGCTGAACACGTGCTATATTTTCGCTATTGCCACTATTTACATTGAGTTCAGCTTGAATTGCTCAGAAAATGAGGAGTTTCTTTTTTCAAAATCTCTTCCTCTACCCCCTTCCCACCCCCTAGAAATGGTTCACTTTCAGTTCAAGTTCTTCTGTTTCAGTGTTGGCTGATACGAAAATACATTTGTTAGGAGCGTTTCAAAATCTGAAACTTGCTCGAAATGCGATATCCAGTCTTATTTTGGGTGGGTTGTTTTTCTCGCTCTTTATTCAGGGAAAATTTACTGGTAGCGGCGAAGGTCGATATGTTACAGGGGCGCCGCCGTCAAAAGTCTACGGGAATCTGCGTAATTTGGCGTCCCGCTCCAGTGAGCGGTTATAAATTTTCGGAAGCGCCGCACTGGCATCGAACGGCGTTGGTGTTCTGTTGAGTTGTACCTTGTTGTTTTTGTTGAGAGATAACTGCAGAAATCAGAGATATGTTGTTGAGTTATGTTGGTGAATTGTTGAATGAGAAAAGATTGTTTTATATGAAACGATACCAATAAATAGTCCAAAGACAACACAATTTCATTATTACACGAATTTTTATTTACCAGTACGGACATGTAACGAATATGCACGGCTTATACCGAATATGTAAACTATCCATTACTGGGAACGATCGATAATTTAATCGTACCTAAATTCGTACATTGATATAGGGGAATGAGAACAATACATTGCCATATCGAAAAGACTGAAACCAATCGAGAGAAGTTTTAACAATTTAGCGACGATCGTGATCGTCGTATGCCGTAATACATGGGATTGCATCCCACCCGGAGAGATGCGTAATCAAAGAAAAGAAAACAATTAGGAAGAAAACGTGTACTGAACCAGTCCACAGGACGGAAACCAACAAGTTTATGGGTACAACCTGAGTGCACCACCACCATTATAACCAGTAGGATTGGCTTTACCTCAGTGGAGCAAAAGAAACAACTGGATACCCCAGTAAGAGTTAGAATTGCAGGATTTGACTAAGTAGATGCCAGGACCGATGTAAGTTGAGTTGTGAACGGACCAATGTGACGGTTAGCTGTGATATGAGCTAGAGAATTTGTTAGAGGGGAAAATCAGAGAAGAAAGCTCTAAAAAACTGCTCTATCACAAACAGGTTAAAGTACTGTACTAAAAGATGAATTGCTCTGCTACAATGAGTGCCTGGGTATACCCTCTATTTCGGACGACGAGAAGAGCGTCGGGTGCAGACAGCACACCACAACTTACGACGGCCAAGAGGAAAGCAAAGAGAAGCCACTTTTTTTGCCGTCGTCAGCTGTGGTGTACAGTCTGCACCCGGTCTCTTCTCGTTTTCCGAAATGGAGGGAGGATCCGCAAAAATGTCAGCGGCTTAGAACACAAATGACACATACGTTAACGACCACGTGGTTGTTTTTGTCGGCTATTTTATCGATCTGTGATGCTATTTTAGCCAGAATTGCGCATTCATAGAATTTTCGCTCTAGTTCACCTTACGTATTTAACGTCTGCGGCTTGGTCCGTGGCTAATTGGTAGTGTATTATGAAAGTAAAGACATGGATGTAAGTATACGCTTAGAAGAGCAGGGGAACCGAGAAGAATTATGCTTATCCTTTAGACACCGCCCACTTAGAAAGGACCCATTTCCCCACCCCTTTGAACAAAATCACCTGAAATGCATGACACAGACGGAGAGTATTAATGCTAGTAATGACATGGTTATTTGGATCCGTGAAAATATAGATACATACAGTCAAATTCACATATGTGCTCACCAGAGAGAAGTATGGTTGTTCAACTGCCAACATACCTCGGGACGATGCCCTTATGCCCTTTCTTATGCCCTTTGTACATTTATCAATCACTTTTCCCACATGACCCACGGTCCCTCGAAATGGACTGCACATAAAAGTGAATGAATTAGTGCATTTGTTGTGAGAGTTGATGAAGGATGTTGAAGAACGGTAGCGGTAACATGAATGGATTCGGCATTGGAGGAATGAGATGCACCACTGGTTGTGGCAGTACCATAGCGATCGGTGGTGTGAGTGGTGGCGGTGCCGGACAAGGATAGACTGCAACCGGATGAGGCAGCTCTGCGGTGATGTGTGGTGACGGCGACACTTCAGAAGACGAGGGTTCTGGAAAATTTAAGTCATCTTGAAAATATGAGAAGAATATGGATCTCCTTTATTTTGAACGGTGGGTTCTGTAGCGCCGGCATCATTGTGAAATCAATTCATCAAATCAGAATCAATGTTGCGGCGGCGACCACGGTGAAATGAAACACTTAATGCACGAAAATTCTATGAGCCTATCATATGATACATACCGTCTCCCGAAAGGAATTCCTTATTCTGTCACGAATTTCTACAAAAGTGATTCCATTATTCCCTGGGCTATTCGAGCGTAGGCTTCAGCAGACACGATTTTGCAGAGAAAGGAATTCTAGCAAAAATCTGCAGTAGATTCAATGCAAGCAGCTCTTTTACGGGACCACTTCTTTGAGTTGCAGAAGATTTCACCACTAAATGCTTAATAGTGAAGTGCCACAGAGGCTAGCCTATCGAATTTCAGCTGTTCAGCTTGAGAGCCATTCCCGATCAATTCCTACCGGGGAGACCAGTGGGGAGGACTTCTCACCTAGGGTTCGTATTACGGGTTCGGTATTCGGTTGAATGCGGAATGCTTCTCCAGGAGGGGATTGAGACTTGGATGAGTTGCAGATTTCGGGTGGGCTTTTTGCTAAATTTTGGAAGATTTACGAAAATTTCGGAAGGTCTACTTCTTGACCCTACAGTACACCCTTCCCACCTCCTTATGCGGGATAATATTACTCCATGATTAATCTATAAAGGAGTTTGTTTTGGTCGATTTCATTCGTCACGCAGCTCTTCCTTATTCGTAGTGAGAATCGGCTTCCTTTGTTCCCACACTTTCCCTTCGTAGCCATGCGTGCAACCGCTCTTGCAACCAGGCTTGGTTGACTTTTACAGAGCCATCATAACAGCCTGTTCCTAGCACGGAATTTAGCACGCAATAAAGCGTTTAAACTCATGCTTAAGTGTTGAATTAGC